TTATCGAGCTTCACATTTTCCCCAAGTATCCTTATTTATGAAGTCAGTCGATTGCGAGCTTGAATCGCGAGATTCGTATCAGAATCAACGTCAAGTTTAAGCTCACGACCACTTCGTCTACGACAAGAGGACCGATTTTAATTCCCGGTGCAGGTGGTCCAATTAGGTTATCACTGCAAGCCCCATGGTATGTGAAAGGTATGAAAAAGTTTACATGCCACCACTCAAGATGGAGCTATCAAATGTCGAGAGCTTACCTGCATAGCCTACATTACACAGCTGATATGTACAGGGTGTCACAAAAGAAAATTTACACGGTCTTTTTTACCGCAAAAATAAACTAGGCATCGCCGAGCGCTCATTCTTCGCCCAAAGGTAGAGCTAGAGGTCACAACCAGATGCCAAAGTTTCAGCCCGATCCGATAACTTAATTAAAAGTTATAAGCGATTTTCTGAAAAGTTCAATGGGAAAATGGAGCCCATTTTTGCCTGTTTTCGGTTTCTGGTGCCACAGAGCCCCATGTGTTTGAAGACTCCGTTGGCCGCCATTTTCCCATTGAAATTTTCAGAAAATCGCTTATAACTTTTGATTAAGTTATCGGATCGGGCTGAAACTTTAGCATCTGGTTGTGACCTCTAGCGCTACCTTTGGGCGGTGAATGAGCGTCCGGCGATGCCTAGTTTATGTTTGCGGTAAAAAAGACCGTGTAAATTTTCTTGTGTGACACCCTGTACTTCGCTGTGGAAACTCAATCAAAACACCCCACCGTCTTCGTCCTCGTTCTCTCGAGCAGGCAAGGTAATGGCCTGAGAGTAGCCAGCTGGATTCAACCGGACAAGCTCAAACCAAGTTATTGCAGCCCACCATAGCCAAGTCTAGCCAAGTTCCCCCCATAGCCACACCGTTGCCTACCCAGATAGCTGTGCTGCCAGAACAAGCCGGTATTTTTTTTTCTAAGCCGCTAGACGGCGTCGTCGGCGCCGCGATTCTGAAGATGGCGGCGCCGTTAAAGAAAAGGTCTATAGATGAGCATTGTACCGGTGTGCGGACATGTATCACTGGCTTGTAATGGCTGATCGTAATGATTAAATTGGACTCTAATTTGGATTAAACCTCGTGACTTAGCGCGACAATGTGTGGTAACGTGTTTCTAATAAGACGACGAGGTTATTTATGAAAAGATCCGTATGCACTGTAATATTTTGCGTGCCCATTACTTACCCATCGTTATTGCCATCATTTTGGAGTGACACTACGTTTTCCCGTGTCGCGCCAACACACTTGGAGTGTGTTTCGACGGGTTGAAGTGCTCTCGCTTGTAGTGACACTAAACTAGCCCGTCTGACAGGGGTATAAGGGGATTGATGGCCGAGTCAATAAAGAAAAAAAAAAAAAAAGGGATTGGTGGCCGAGTGGGCTAGCGCACACTAAAGCCCCTCTGGGAAAAGTAGGGGGGATCGGTGGCCGAGTGGTCTAGCGCACACCAGCTCGGAGCTCGTGGAGCGAAAGCTCGCGCTACAGAACCCAGGGATCCTGGGTTCGAGCCCCACCCCTGCCCGTTTCGATCTGGATGACCATCGTACCGGCGTGCGGTCGTGTATCACTACTGCGTGGTGCACGTTAAAGACCCCAGGCTAGCGGCTGTACCGCACTGGCTAAATTTCTCACCTACAGCTGGGAGACTCGTCGCCCCTGTGGGGCAGATCAAGTTCTAGGCTGTATAAACACACACACAACCCAATTTTTTTTTGGGGAAAAGTAGCGTCATTCATTGTTGTAGAAATGCTCGAGGCGCGTGCCGCGCGCCACTTCTGGGAAATACATGGCGTCTGAAATCTAGCTCAGTGCTCAGTGCTGCGTTGTGCCGCCATGATCTTCCCAAGGGCTGCACGTTGCACGTGCCTCGTGCATTGACGAACCTTGCGCTACTTTTGAAACATGAAGGGGCTTCAGCGTTGCTTCAGCGCACACCAGCTCGGAGCATGAGGAGCGAAAGCTCCTCATGCTCCGAGCTCACGCAGTAGTGATACACGACGTGTTGTCGTGTATCACTACTGCGTGGTGCACTTTAAAGACCCCAGGCAAGCGGTTGTACTCCACTGGCTAAATTGCTCATCTATAGCTGAGAAACAAGTCGCCTGTTGAGGCAGACTAAGTTCAGGCTGTATAAACATACTCATAACACAATTTTTTTTTTCAATGAACGCTTTGTTGTTTTTAGTTATGCAACATATCGGGCTAAAGGGCCCCTACGCGTATTTGTGTTTGAGATCGTTTGAGTGCGTTTGACTGCGTTGCTTGGCAGGCAACATATAGAATAGCTTGGGAGGCAACAGAATAAGCAGGGATGTCCCATTTTCTCGCAGCCGCAATGCAGTCAAACGCCGTCAAACGCACTCAAACGCAACTGTGCCTAGGGGTCTTGGGTAGCTCCACGAGCGAGCCATACTTTACCGCGAACTAGCGCTGCTTCTTAGGAACTCATGACGGGCGGCATTCCAACAGAGCTTCACAGACCGCCACCATACATAAGCAGCAAACCTGTTTATTCGTCGCGAAATTAGTTTTCTTGACTTCTTCTGCCGGCAGCCCAAGAACACTAGTCTAGGCTAGTCTTTCTGGACTGCCGGCACAATATACACCACACCAAAGCAAGGAAATAAGTGCAGACATTTCGTCTCCGTATCCCTCTAAAAATTAATTTAAGTCATTTCAATCACAAACGATTCAAAAGCCTTTAAGACGGACTTTGTTCCGTTTATAGAATAGGCGAATGAGTCCGCGGTCCCGACTCTGCGCGTACGCCTCGACCTGCAGTGGTCCGCCGGTTTTATAAAGTCTGAGGGCCTTCGAAATTCCCGTGACAGGGGGGTATAGAAAATGTCGGTGAGGGAAGTCTTAGTAATTAGTCCGCTCGTTTTCACATCAGACTGGCCTGACGTTCGCAACGATCAATAGCGTCATTATAAGAGGAGTACATTTATTTTTGGTTTCACGTCAGGAAGAATGTGATGCCGCCGCCGAAACGTCAATGTCTGCCCATTCCTAAAAGCATCTATTCATTCTCTCTTATCTTGTTTTGTAGTTCGTGTCGTTCAGATATTATGTTCTCCGTCTGTGTTTATTTGGCAAGCGTCTTTTTTATTATACTTTTTGTATATTGAAAAACTCACTAGTTCGTTTTCCTCTCTTGTTCTTGATGTTGTTGTTTTCGCTTGTTTGTACTTAAATTATGAAATTTTACTTGTAGCCATCGCTATCTTGCCGTATCTCATTAAAGAGCCTGAATGTATGTCAACTATTTTGTGCTACGTTATCAAGGCTAACGAAGCTTCCATAGTGCTGCCGTCCCGCACTGCTGCGAAAGCACGCACGATCTTTTTACATCTTCTTCTCTAGCACTCGCGCGATTAGCATTGACAACACTGCCGAAGCTATCCTAGTCTTGGCAACGTAGAACAAAATTGTGGGCGTCGTTGACATTAAAGCAACTCGATGAAATTTAAGCTTGGCGTTTCTTACAAGTACCGCGGCAACGTTTGTTGTGCAAACGTGCGAAACAAGCACCACGAATCGCTGCTGCGCCGCAATTGGCTTATAAGGTAGTGTGCACCAACCAGCAACGCTGGTGCCACTCTATCGTTCACTCTATCCGAGGGCTGCTCATTTCAGTGCGACGCCGCCATTTTCTTCGAAGATCCGCACAGAAAATGCGCCTCGTGCATTGGCACATTTAACATTTGATGCTCCTAGTAAAACGAGCACACACACACACGATTTACTGTAATCCTGACCGGCGCACAGATTGGCTCACGAGGGGCTGTCGTCGATGGAGTGCCTCTCTTCACCATTGAGGGCGCTCGGTAAAGACTTTTCTGCGACCCAAACTAACGCCCCCAAAATAACCAAAGCATGCGCACTAAAATATTGACGTCATCACTGTGAAATCGAGCGAAGACGCAGATTGGATACGAGCGCAGAGTCAGGACTCGGCTTGGCCTCGTGTCTAATCAACGCGTCGAAGGACGCTCGGCATCAGGATCGATTCCAGTAGCTTAGTTGGCACCATCCGACTGTGACGACGTTCCATGGAGGAAAAGAAGGATGTTTCGCAGGCTTATGGGATTCTAGATGGCGTTTCCCAAATGCGATTCACAGATCGGCTTCGCTCTTGCGCGCAGCAGCTGATTGCAGCTGCCCGCAGTATTGTCTGGTCCTTACATCTCCTTCTCACTAGGCAGTTTTCCCTTTAAGGACGGGATTTGTTGCGGTTGCTTGGGACCAACACATCCTTTGTGTCGCAATAAAAAACAAATTTAAGTGTTTTTTTTGTTCGGAATAATTAGTAGAGGAGACTGTTTTTGATAGAGTAAAACATTACATGAGCAGTCACGGGTTAATATATTCGAAATGCACTTTAAATGGAAACATATAAGTCGCGCGAACTTTCTCGTTGGCACGAGCTCCGTCGTTTGCCGAAATTAACTTCGGCAAACGAGGACATAAAACTAAAGGGGGTTCCCGGATCAGTCCCCATGGCAGCCACTATGCAGGCAGCCGGCGCACCCTAGTGATGAATTCGCAACGCGCCCACTGACGAGATACCTCGAAGAAAGCCGATTCAAAGTAGGGTCAGGACCAGATAGGGCCGCCGCACCTGGTGCGCCTTCGATTGATATCTGGGTAAGCCAGGAATCAAAAAAATACCTTTACGGACCGCTACGCAGTCATATGGAGTGACACTCTTCTATGAGCAGGTCAGCGTTACAGTAGCTCGTGTATACGAACATAGCAAGGCGCTCTAATTTGCTTCACCCGCTAGTTTCATCATTCTTCGAATACCATTCTTAAAATGCGCCCGCGGGATTTGCTCGCGGTCGCCCGATTCATATCACGCCAGTTGGCACCGTTCACACTGCCCTGAGCAACGGGCCAAAACAAAAAATAATAAGACTTGCATGACGAACGTGTCAACATGGTACGCACTATCTTCCGCCAGGTTGCCGTACCAGATGCTCGTGGGTGGCGTGTTCGCCATCAAGCGGGAACACTTCCTCAAAGTCAACGGCTTCTCCAACCTCTACTGGGGCTGGGGCGGAGAGGACGACGATATGGCCTATAGGTGAGTGGCTATACGCGGACATGTGTCCGTCGTCGGTGCATGTGCGTGCAGATATTACGTGATATTATACGTGCAGATAGTACGTGTCTAAAAAAGAAAAAGAAAAAGTGTCAGGTGCAAATATTTTACTATAGGCGCTTTGCACAAGCGCCAGATTGCAGCCGTCATTGCTGACCTTCCCTTGTCTTACCAAGATGCTGAGTCACTGAAGCGGGTGTTGACGAGCCTCCACAAGGGTCAGTGCTGGGGAGAAGACAAAGTAGAATCTCAAATGGCAATAGCAAGTCCTGCTGTGGTAACGACGAAGTAAAGTGAACCGTACCAAAGTTGAAAGCTGGGCTAGTTGGTGTAGGCTAAACATAATGTAGGTGAAACAGCGCAGAACGACATAGACCATAGAAGGTAGGAACAAACAGGACGGGACAAGCTTTCATTTGTTTAAAGTGAACTGAACAATAGGAAACATTACCTGAAGGTCTGTTATGGCGGCGGCCACGCACAGATGCTGCAAAGAGTCCATGCCCTATTTTACTAAGCGCAAGCGAGGTCGAAGCTACAAGCGCGAGCATGTGACTCTGATAGGTGCTTGAAGTGCACGAGCGCGTGTGCTTGGCACGGACGCCGAAAGCCCGGGTCTCGCTTTTGTATACCTTATGCCACGCTCGCACTTAAAAGTGAAACGGAGTATACGGGGTGGGGTATTCACCTGAATGGGACTAACAGAAATTTAAAGCACGGTTGTGCGGTTATTGTGGATTTGTGCAGATCAGATTAATAAACAAATGGTCAAGCGCTAACGACTCCGGTAACACGGTTTGCCACAGAATCAACCACAAGCACATGAAAATCATCCGGCCCCCGGCATCAGTCGCACGGTACACGATGATCAAGCACATCCACAGGCCAGAATCGCCGGACAATATCCGGTAAGTGAAGAAGTTGCAACTTATTTGACTTATATGTCATCTAATTCAGTGTCAAGGACTAACATAAAGGTGATTCCTCTCTGTGTCTGCGTCTATACGGCCAGCAAGTTCGCCCGGTCCTTGCGCGCCTCGTGCGTTTGTTTACCCCCAAATGCTCCCACATGTGTTCCCCCCCCCCCCCTTCGACCTCAACCAATCACGGCCATAGATTGGCTGCTCGTCATCACGCGTTCCCTGCGACTTCTCTGTGTTGACATTTGATTGGCGTGATCTTCCTCGCGTGCCGACGTGCCTACGATGTTCTTTGGAACACTTGCTCTCCGTATAGTTTTCTTCTAGCTTATCTTCGTCGTTTTTGCGTGCTTTTTAAGAATATGAATCGGCATCAACTTGGCCCTGATTTCAGCGGCCTTGATCGTCGTCGGCTCTGAGAAACACTGAAACGCTGCCTTCGTGAACAAGAGCAGATAACCTTCTTTAAGGTTATCCTTCAGTTTGGCAGAAACTTTTTATGTTTTGTTTATTATTAATATTTACTTAAGCACCCTCTTTCCATAGCGTAACTTGAGGGTGGCACCCCGTTAGAATGTACAAACAACTGAAAGTAGAAAACTCATAATTGAATGAGAGTGTAAGGATTCTAGTCATGCTTTGACCCACCCGCGGTATTCTCACTTTTGTTAATTTGCGCTTTACCTTAACGAGGTGCTTAACTCTTTATTGACGAGATATACAAAAATGGCTTAAAACGTTGTGAGCCGAATAGACCGACGCTCTAACATGAGGTCGCCAAAAAATGTCCGCTCTTGCAGTGACAAGGCATCTCGTTCTCATATCGTGCTCATCGCATTTATGAACTGCGCTTTACGGCGCGGGTATTGGGCAACATTAAACTTCATTTAAGCTTTCGTTTCTGCATTTCGACTTCCCTCTTCACAAAATATATATCTTGAAAAAACTGTCTAGCTGTCTAAACTGTCCTAACATACGAGATGCGTTTAGAAACTTCGTATTATACAAAAACAGTGATCTGCAGAAAAATTAAACGCCCCAAAATGTGAAAAACAAATAGAAACAAGAAACACGGAACCCTTGTTAATCTCAGATTCGGGAAGTAATCCGTTACAAGTAACATATCACTTGTAATCCGTTACTTTTTCAGGTAATTTTGTGATTGCCTTGTTACTTATTTTTTGGAAGTAATTTGTAATGTAATTTCGTTACAAAACTTTGGTAACGGATTACTTCAATTACCCGTTACTTTTCTTAAAAAATATGAACAAAATACAGTAACGGGAGCAATACGAGCAGATCATTCAGCACCATAAGGAGAGCAAGTTCAACAAAATAGAAAACATCAGGACGAGCAGAATAGCCAAAAAGAAATCACGATTTTTTGTATGACCGGTCACTAGAACAACTAGAAAAATTGGTAAGGCAGGTACAAATATACGAAAGACAAAGATAAATTAAGACAACGCCGAGTAGGCTCTCCGTCGCATTCCATCGCACTTTTCTTCTCCCGGGCAGGAGAAAGCTCTTAGTGTTTATTTGTTTTTGTCTTTTACACCATTTCACTCTTTCCAACTTCTTCGACGTCTCCGGCCACCTGCACAGACATCAAGCGCGGGTCCGTACCTCCTCGATTCACGAATTCACAACTCACGTAACAGACGATGTAGCCTCGCGCGAGTGGGCCGAATTCTCTTAGTCTTTGGTGTACGCTACTGTATTCTAGCACGGTTTTGAGGCACGGCTGAAAAGCGCCCGGCGCGAGGCTAAGGGCATCGTTTTCCAGTGTACGGACGATACTTCTTTTGGTTTCCTTGTAAGGGCATGGTGGTCTGGTCCACTCCTCACTTAACAGCGAACTGTCAACATAAAGGGGGAGGGGGGGGAGGGGGCGGGGGGGGTGGGGGGGTCAGGCCATCTAAGGAGTGCTGACAGAAAGAGAGAGAACACGTAAAAGTGGTGCCCTCCTCTATTCTTTTCTGAGACCGATGGCCACCGCCTCTCTCGCGCTCTATGCCCTCCCCTCCCCTGGCCTCCACGAATATTGGTATGAAAGTGAGAACCGATGAACGATCGATAACCCGTAACCGCCACTTTTTCTCTGAGTGGTCGAGTTTTCGGTCATGGAGTGTCCGTCGTCTCCATGGCCATCTCTTAATAAGATTTTCCAACTTTAGGGCATTAAAGGGTAACTGCAAAAAAAAGTATTTTTAAACAGCCTAATTGGAACAAGCATGTCACAAAACAATTTTTCCGCCAAAAACAAAAATTTTTACAGCAATATTTATTGCGCGAGACTGATTTTAATTTGCGACTATTTCGTCCGTTTTAGATCGCGCGCCACAAAGTTGGTATTATACGTCACGAAGTGTCTGCTAAACGTCACGGAGTGACGTATTGCCGCCACTCCGCGCGCGTCGAAAGAGCGGGAGTTTCAAATGCGGAGAAGTTGTGACCCCGACTAAATTACGTCCTGTGGCGTAAATATTGCTAGAAAAAGCTTGTTTTTTCGCGGAATATTTGTTTTGTGACATGCTTGTCCCAATTAGGCTGTTTAAAAACACACTTTTTTTTTTGCAGTTACCCTTTAATGCCCTAAAGTTTGAACACTTACCCTTTAATGTTCTAAAGTTTGCTTGGAAAAAAACACATTGTCATCAACAAGAAAAAAACTCTAATATACGCAAAAACATCAAGGTAAGCTGGGATACCTGCATTCTGCATTGGCTATACATTGTAACGTTAGAACAAAATTTTTGTTGTTTTTTTTCTTGTGAATAACAGGCGAAACACCCGAGTCAAAAGGGAGCTTTCGTACATTCTTCTTTCGCTCCGAATCTCGTAGCAGAGGTAGACGCCACTACTGAGAATGCGCACCGCTAGCTTTGTCCGCACAATTCCAGGGGGCATTTTCGGAGGACGTAAGCTAGCGGGATGGCGGTTGTGGTTGCAGCTTTCGGTGCCTTGTCAGCTTACAGGTGATGGAAGTGCACCTACACTCTTTCTCTTAAATACAATATTTTATTTTTACAAGGACTACCATAATACGGGTGAATGAGAAATCAAAAGTAGTGTTGTGGAACACATTTGAAAAATATCAGAATTGTTTCTTTTGTTTTCTGAATAAGTGTACTCAAAAAGTAACGTAAAAGTAATATGTAACGTAACAAGTATAATCCGTTACTTTTCAACGAAAGTAATTTGTAACTGCAATTCATCACATTTAAGGCTCGGTAGTTTGTAATTGTAATCCGTGACATTGTTCAAGTAACGAGTACAAATCTGGGTAATATATATCCGATTAGATTTTAAGACAACCACTAAAAGTCTTGTTTTCGTGGGTATCTTAAAGGGGCGGTGAAACAATATTCAATGGACCTTTTCCGAGAAGCGTTCTGCGCACGCTCGAGCGCCCGATGCCAAGCGCCGGAAGTCGGAACGAAAAATCGAGGAAATTCGGAGGGAGGCTGCATATCAGCGAGTAGAACACGTAACTGCAGCATATATATAATTGTGTTACACGAAAGAAGAACGTCGACGGAAAGAAAAACACAACGTTTGGGTGGATGCCACGGATGCCCCTCTTTAAAGTCGCGTTGGGCACGCGCTGCTGCTCAGAGAGCGAAGAAACTGGTAGCGTAGCTCCCATTATCGATTGGTAGCGCAGATAGGTCACTTCCTCGATTTTTAGTTCGTGCAGCCACTGCCTGGTGCCGTCGGTATGTGGAAAAGGTCCATTGGATTTTTTTTCTTAGAGCGCAGCCAACACCACCTAGACAGAAGGTCTCCGCATGGTTTCCTCTTCCTCTATGAAACGTCATCACAGTCGGATTGCGCTCGGTCGGCTATCGGACCCGAGCCCGACCTACGACGCGCTGATTGGCCACGAGCCGCAGCCGAACACTGACGCAGCACTCGTGCCCAATCTCTCGCCTCGATCGATCTGACTATGATGACGCGTGTGGAGGCCTTCTGTCTAGGTGGTGTTAGCACAGCTCTTAGGCGGCCGTTTCCGGCTTGAGTGGCGTCGCCGTCGGTGTAACCGCGCGTAACCCTCGTAACCCTAGTGAGGGTTATGAGGGTTACCCTCGTAACCCTTGTGAGGGTTATGAGGGTTACCCTCGCAACCCTCGTGAGAGTAACCCTCGTAACCCTCGTAACCCTCACGAGGGTTTCGAGGGTTAGTTACCCTCAAAAAGGTTACCCTCACGAGGGTCACGAGGGTTATGAGGGTTACCCTCAGGAAGGTTACGAGAGTTAGCCTCACGAGGGTCACGAGAGTTACCCTCACAAGGGTTACTAGGGTTACCCTCATGAGGGTTACCCTTATGAGGGTTACCCTCATGAGGGTCACGATGGTTACCCTCACGAGGGTCACAAGGGCTACCCTCACAAGGGTCACGAGGGTTACCCTCACGAGGGACACGAGGGCTGCCCTCACGGGGGTCATTTTGTGGCACCTCCCTCAGCGGGTGCCACAAAAATTGTGGCACCCCCTGAGGTCACGTGACCTCAGAGGGTCACGTGATGTGACATTAGGGGGTGGGTCACGTGACCACTAACATCACGTGACCCCTTGAGGTCACGTGACCCCTAATGTCACGTGACCCCTGCTGTCACGTTACCCACCTGAGTTCACGTGAACCCCCTGAGGTCACGTGACCTCAGGGAGTCGCCTATTCCTTAGTACTCTTCTATCCTATCCCTCAGTACCCTTCCACCCTCCTCCTCAAGAGCTGCGCTCTAATCCGGCGTTACAGGGAGTTGTAAATTTTTTTCACTTTACACGAGCTTACAAACACTATTGGGACCCAAGAATATTCGCACGCAACGCCAATGAACAAGAAACCTCTTTGTCGCGGTGTAATTTCAAGGAGAAAAGCGAACATTTTCTTGCAATCTTTCCTTCACAAAACTCGATGACGTAGCGTGGGGGTCGCAGTATCCCCGAGTGATGGTATTTGAATGCGGCTCATAGATTGGACCCG